TTACCGACTGCGATATAATTAATCGTGCAGCACTAATGCTTAGTGTATTCTAAAGGGCAATAAACTCCACTCCAGCAAGATAGTCATTTTATGCAAATCATAGACCTTTATGCCTTATCTACAAATAAAGTATAATATTGGGAACATTGATCTTGAAGAGAGTGTGTCGTCGTGTACTGTCGCAACCGAACCGCGACGCGCTAATGCTGATGCATGGAGAATGACTGAGGCGAGATGACTTTCCGTTAACTTTAACTTAGAGACTAAAATATTAATTTTACCACACATTAAGCTATTGAATGACTTTAGAAGTCTTGGAATATAGTGTGAAAACTTGATTGTGCTTTACAGTTTTTTATGCCTTTAGTGGGGCTTAACAAAATAACACAATATGCAGAATGTCGGACGTCACTTATAGGCTAAACTGTTTTTATAGATAAAAAGCTATTTACATTCGGCAGTCATGAAAACAAAATCTCAGATAACGGTTGACTAGGTAACAATGTGTAATTTTGCGCCGGAGTTCTCCTTTAACTTACATTAGCTAGCTAACTACGAACGAGCTAACCAGATAACATTAACAAATTGACAAGCACTTACTGGCAGAATATGGCTCTTCAAATGACGGACGAAATTGGAGGTTGTCATCTGACTGTCCGCGATCTTAACGTTGCATGTCTTGCAAAGCGCTGTTCTTTTGCCATCTTGTTGTAAGAAATTCTTGAATCCAAAAGCGACGACGACCCTCGTTATCCCTCCGGCTGACATGTTGATGTGATCTGATGTAAGTGGGCGTGGTGTGCGCGTAAGGTATGAGAAAGGCATGACTGATGATCTCTGATCCAGTCATGACAGCGCTATTCTCAGCCTGCGCTCCAGCTGGATCAACTTTATTTTTTTTTACATAATTTATATATTTTATATTCAAACTGAAAACATGATGTGATTAACACTCAAGTCATATTATTACATGCAAGTGTGTTTGATTTATGGACCAAATTTTCAGATCAAGTTTATGGACCAAGTTAATTTAATTAATAAACTAATTATATAAACTATTAATGCACTACAATTAAACTGGTTATATGCCTTTACTTATAAAAAATAAAAAACTTATTTAAAAAAATACCAGGCTTAAGGCATTTATTTTTTTATGCAGGCCATACACACAGGAGTGAAATGGTTAATACCCCTCCCCTACAAACACACACACATTCACAGACAGGCAAAGACAGCAGGCTCAGATTGAGCAAGACCACATTCAAACAAACATATCTGACTTTCTGTGGGTCCTAGCTAATGAGTGTCAATTAGAAAGTTGTCCGGCTCGAGGAGTACAATATACATACCGATTTTTGTAACTGTAGATAAAACTAACAACCCCACTTTTGTCAAAAGGTGGCGCTACTGAGCCCTCACCACGCCCGTTTCTGAAACTTTGCACGTGTCTACTGGCTAATAAATGTGATGTGTCTGTCGAGTTTCATGCAATTCAAGCATGCTAAGGGTCTCAAAAGCATCCTAAAAGAATGGTAAACGTTTGATGCGTCGCCACGGCAACAGTTTCAAAGATATCAAGAATCCATTCACAGGTCTACATCTGCCGTATGTTTACATTATACAGATGACGTTTGAAGCAAATCGGGTAAAAATAAAAGGGTGATATCAAAGCATTTTGAAAGTGACACACTTCCTGCTGCCAGTTGGTGGCGCTATAACTTTGACTCACAATAGTCACATCCATGTGATCGTCCTCTTACAGCGAACACACTGCTGAAGTTTCATCAAGATCAGTTAATGTATGCTGAAGTTATAACACACTTCCTGTTTCACGTTTCTCGCCATGATTTCGTTTCCTCGCCACGGCCAAACCGTTCGAGATATCAAAAATCCCTCGCAAACTTTCATCCTCAATGTCTTGACTTCATGCTGACCGAGTTTTGTCGAATTTGGATCAAAGCTCTAGGAGGAGTATTTAACATTCCATTGCGAGCGTTTTACAAACAAACCTCAATAGCCGACTTCCTGTTGGGCTGGGGTAAAAAGTAAAGCGCGCGAGGTATAGATGAAACTATGAGATCAACATGTGCACCGAGTTTCATATTATTACATACAAACGTGTTTGAGTTATGGACCAAGTGTTCGGACCCCGTTCCAGGGGGCGC